GTGGTGGTGGTGGTGGTGGTGGTGGTGGTGCTGGTGGTGGTGGTGGTGCTGGTGGTGGTAGTGGTGGTGGTGGTGGTGGTGGTGGTGGTGGTGGTGCTAGTGTTGGTGCTGCTGGTGCTGGTGGTGGTGGTGCTGGTGCTGCTGGTGCTGCTGGTGCTGGTGGTGGTGGTGGTGGTGCTGGTGGTGGTGGTGCTGGTGGTGGTGGTGGTGCTGCTGCTGGTGGTGGTGCTGGTGGTGATATATTTTTGGCCCCATACATATGCCGTCGAACGTCTGGGGTCGGGGGATGGCCCCCGATGGCGAGCCGGCACTTTCCCTCCACCGACCGCCAGGCCCCGAGGAATTCGCGAACTTGATCTCGACGGGCGCGCTCATCCCCTGCGGTATGTTGCCGTTCACGTTGGCCACCAGCCACTGGGCCTCCGCCACGCTGGACATCCGCACCAGGCCCGCGACATCGTTGGCGCCAGGCGGAGACGGCAAGATCTTGGTCGACACCAGTCGGGGGGACGTACGACTCGTGTACAGGGGACTCGGGTTGGCCCGACGGGGCCATCATGAAAATGACGAGGCCCCGTCTGAAATTTGACGCGAGCTCCCGCTGCAAACGTCCCACACAAATCGGACCGTCAAAATCCGGGACGCGCTTGTCAAAAAACGTCCGCAAGCCCGAGTTCCGGCGCACTCGACTCTTACGTTTAAGGGGGAACGTCGGGGATGGAGGAGGAGGAGGAGGAGGAGGAGGAGGAGGAGGAGGAGGAGGAGGAGGAGGGAGGCGATGGGGAGGAGGAGGAGGAGGAGAGGAGGATGAGGAGGAGAGGAGGCTGGGCGGAGAGGAGGAGGAGGAGGAGGAGGAGGAGGAAGGTGTGAGGAGGAGTACGGAGGAACAGGCGAGGAGGAGGCGGCGGCGGTCGAGGGAGGCGACGGCGGAGGAGGCCAGGGAGGGCGGGCGTGGGAGGGCGGACGGAGGCGGGGGGGCCGTGCGGAGGGCCCCACTAAGTGTGAGGGAGGGGGGCGACATCGACCAGGTGTCGGCGATGCCTCGCCGACGGATCGGCGACATTGTCCCCGAGGGCGAAGCCGCGCGCTCCCGGGCGGGGTGGGCCCTCGGGCCCCGATCGGCGGCCAGGGGGCGACTCGATATCGAGGCATACTCCAGATTTCGTAATAAAGGGAGGGGGGTCTCATTTCGGGGGGGGTCTCTTCCAGGCTATCCTTGGAGGGCCTGGGGGGGGGGGGGTCTGGGAGCGGTGTTCTGGATGGTTCTCCCACGAGGGGGGGGGTCTGAAGTGGCTTGTCTTGGAGGGTCCAGACCCCCTCCCTGTTATTGCGAAATCTGGAGTACCCCCTCTGAGCCCACCCCTGGCCCGAACGTTTCTCGGGGGCGGCAAAGGGGGGGGGCGTCCAAGAGGGGGGGGGCGCAAGTCATGGCCCGAGGTATGTGCGCGTCCCAGAGATGACCTGGGGGACGTGTCGACAGAAGAAACAAGGCCTGCGCCTTCTGAGAAGCAACCTCCTCCTAAGAAGCCTCCCCCCTCCCCCCTACCCACCCCTCTGCGCGTGGCCGATTGTCATCACCCCCTCCGCGGCCGCCCCCGAACGTTCGGTGGCAACTCATGGGAGCCTCCCGTACCATCTTGTCGGCTCTTGCGAATCAACGCTGATCGACGCCAAATCGACGCTAATCGACACTAACCGACGCTTCATCGGCGCTACCTCATCGACTCCCCGACGCTATCAACGCCAGCTGGCGCTAAAGACAAAATTGCCAAGGTACACCCGGCTCCGATGAATTTCTACCGAATTACGATGAAGGCATTGGATAAGGAACCGTTGGATAAGGAATGCAGGGTCTGGAAGCCCGTGGAACTCCAATCGTGGATCGGCCATGGATGGCAACGCCGCGCTTGTTAGATAAGGAAGCCCCCAGGGCCAGAAGCCTCCTGGACACATTCCTTAACCAACGCCCCCACCGTAACGCTACCCTGACACCTCGGGGATCTTCTGACCTGGGTCAATCCAGACCCGGGCCAGTCAGGCCTGCAAGATCCTGCACCCAAACCCGGGTCAACGCGAAGGATCCTGCAATATCCTGCAGGATCCTGCACCCAAGCCCGGGTCAGTGCACCCCTGGCCCTGCAGGATCCTGCAAGATCCGGCGCTCTGGCTGACCCCCGTTTGCATGGACCCCCGTCCCTCGAGCCCCGAACGCCTCCGCAGTGATGCCCTCCGGCAAGCCCCTCATCCACAGCCTCTCCGAGGGCCCGGGCGGCCCCCCGGGCGCGTGCGCCGCCCGGGGCACGGCCGCCGCGCCCCTGCCGCCGCCCTTCGGCCCGAGAGGCGGCTCCTCGGCCGGAGGGGCGGGCGCCCCGCTCGAGTAGCAGACAGACACCGGGACCGTGAGACCTAGGGCGCAGCCAGGATGAGGATAAGAGATCGGGTGAGGATCCGCCGAGAACCCTCCTCATCCTCGTCCGCGTGCTCTTCCTCCTCCTCCCCCATTCTGCTCCACGGCGTCCTCCTCCTCCTCCTCCTCCTCCTCCTCCCCCTCCTCCTCCTCCTCCTCCTCCTCCTCCTTCTTCTCCTGCTCCTCCGACTCCCCTTCTTCTCGTCCTCCTACTGCTCCTTCCCCTCCCGTCCTCCCCCTGCCCCTGGTCGCCCTCCTCGTACTCCTCCGCACTCTCCTCCTTCCCCTTGCTGCTCCACGGCGTCCTCCGCCTCCTCCTTCTGCTCCTCCGCCTCCTCCTTCTGCTCCTCCTCCCCTCCCCCCTCCCTCCTCCTCCTCCTCCTCCTCCTCCTCCTCCTCCTCCTCCTCCTCGTCTTCAGGGTCGGCGGTACTGGCCGTAAGGCTTTCACAATCGGGTGAGGATCAACCGAGAATCTCTGAGATCTGGCGGCTCTGGAGGATGTCTCGGGCGCCGCGGCCTCCCTCTGAAAGCGTTCCGGAACGCTCTGAGAGCGCTGCTCTGGAACGGATTTATCCTCGTCCTAGCCCTGTCCGAAGACCGTGCGGGATGTTGCCGTTCAGGTTGTCCACCAGGAAGGCGGCCTCCGCGAGCGACGACATCCGCACGAGGCAGGCGGTGTCCGTGGCGCCGTTCGGGGGGTCCGGGCTCTGGACGATCGTGCTCGACACCGCCGTGCCGTAGGAGGCCAGGATCGAGGCGACCGCCTCCGCGGTCAGGCCCGAAGGGAGGCCCTTCAAGAAGATGTGCTCCGAGGGCGCTACGCCTCCCGCGCCGGCGGGCACGGCGGCCGCAGGGGCGGGCGGCCCGGGCGGGAAGGCGGGCACGTCCGCCCGGTCCTGCTTGAACCTGACCTCCACCGGGCCCGGGAGGCCCTGCGGTATGTTCCCGTTCACGTTGTCGACCAGCCACTGGGCCTCCTGGACGGCGCTCATCTGCACGATGGCCGCCGCGTTCGGCGGGCCGCCGGGGGTCTGCTGCAGCACCTTGCAGGACACGCAGCTCCCGTACCCGCTGAAGATGCCCGTCACCTCAGAGGGGCAGAAGCCTGCAGGAACATACGGCGAGGGCAGTGGCTAACGAACCCGTAGGTAAGGAAGACAGGTTCCGAAGACGGTGGAACACCAACCGAGGACTGTCCACGGATATGTTTGCCGCCCTTATCAGATAAGGAAGCCCTCAGGGCTCGAAGCCTCCTGGGCATACATTCCTTAACCAACGCCCCCACTGTACTTTCTCGGAGGCCCGCGGGGAGTTCTTGGATCGGCGCTGGATGTAGGTCGGGCGTGTACCCCTACAGGGGGATGTTCGACGAAAAATGATGTATAGAAAAAAGAAACAACACTTGTATGTTAAAAATCGAAAATTATCAAGTTCCCTGACGATTGTTTTACTATTTTTGACTATTCCTCCTCTAGTAGGGACAGGCACGACGTAACGCTGGATCCCCCCTCCCTGGCGCGCAGGCGCCAGGGGCGGCGCAAGAGGCGCCGCCACGAGACCAGCGCCGATCCAGGAAATCCGCGCGGACCTCCGCGAAATGATACTTATGCAATTTTTTGTTGCTTGTTCTCCAAACCTTCGGAGGCAACGCACGGGAGCCTCCCATACAATCGTGTCGGTTCTTGCGAATCGATGCTCGTCGATGCTGATCAACGCCAAATCGACGCCCAATCGACGCTAAATCAACGCTAACCGACGCTAAATCGGCGCTACCTCATCGACTCCCAGACGCTAATCGACGCTACTCGACGCCAATCGGCGGAATCAAAGAGGGTGGACCAGGCTCCCATGCTTTGCTACCGAACGTACCTGATCCTCGGTGATCCCCAGCGGCAGGCCCCTGACGTACAGCCTGGTCGAGGGTGCCGCGGAAGCCCCTGGGGCGGCCACCGGCGGCGGCGGCGGCGCAGCGGCACCGTGGGGCGCGCCCTTGCCGCCGCCCTTCTGGCCGCTGGCCTGGGCATAGGCTTCTCGGATGACGCGCGAACAAAACACACACACACAACCATAACCATGCACCCAGACTTAAGAGGACGCACATCGACGTACTAGTACTAGATGTCCTCCTTGGAGGCGCGCGTCCGACCCGAACATGTAGTAGACCCATCTTGTAGCAGATCGTCTCCCGAGCGGTCTGGACAGAAAGCGCTGGCCACGACGCACATGCTACAAGATTTCTCGGTGCGCGCGTCGCCCCGGGGGGGCGGACATAGTATTTGCATGTTGGGGTGTAAACGACTGAAAGTTCAGAAGTCTTACGCTGAGAAAATGACCTTCGCTCCAAGCGTATTTCAGCAATAGTACAGATCCAAGTATACGAGAACTCTTGAAAAAAAGGGCTCCGGCCAAGTCCAGATTATTGGTTTTCTTAAGCGACACTTGGAGTCCATGAAAACTGCTGTTTTTGCTGAGATTCCTAAAATGGGTGCAGGGGGGTCGGAGAGAACTCGCTATGGCCACGAACGGGTTGTCGGACTCTGGGGGAAGCTCCCGTTCGAGCGGGGATCCCCATCCAACAGCACGCACTCATAGCCCCCTCCGTCCCTGCACGGTTTCCCCCGGGCCGAAGGCGACCCGAAAAGGAGGAGAGGGTGGAGGAGATGGAGGAGGAGGAGGGAGGGAGGAGGAGGAGGAGGAGGAGGAGGAGGGGGAGGAGGAGGAGGAGGAGGAGGAGGAGGAGGAGGAGGAGGAGGAGGAGCAGGAGGACGGGTCGCATGAGCCCTTCGGAGAAACCTTCCATCCGTCCCCCGTAATGCGTGTGGGTGTGTGTCGCTCGCTCGTCCGTCGGAGGCCCGCGCCGACCTCTTTGGATCGGCGCTGGAGCCCCCTCCCTGCCTCGCGGGACGCGCCAGTGGCGTCCAGCAAGTTCGTGCCGTGACAAGTGAGCATGCTATATTCGGCGTTTCGACGCTGGGCGAAAGGAGGGGGAGGGAGGGGAGGGGGGTCTGGCTCCGGACCTCTGCTTGATGCGACTGCTCGCGGCAGTGCGTCCTGTGGGGTGGCGACTCCGCCTGCTCGAAACAGGCGCCAGAAATAGCCAAGATCTACTCCATGGGGAGGTGGGGGAGGGGGGGGTGCGAGAGCCCGCGCCGATCGGTAAAACAACGAGTGAAAAAACGATCACCAGCAGGTTCGGGTCGTGACAACCCCAGCGCTTGGTTCTGACACACATGAACCGTTCAGCCTTGAACGATCGGCGGACTTTCGATCGCCAGATTGTTCCATATTGACCGACTCTGGGCCACTGGCGGCCGTCAACCCTGAACGCCCGCGGCGGGGCATGCGCCGCCTCGGCACGACAAGAGCCTACTGTAATTCGGGCCTCAGGCGGCCCTTCGGGAAGACCCCGGCACCCCCGGAACATCGGCCAGGCGCAGCTGCTGGAAAGCATCCCAAGGCGAGAAAAACTCCAAGCAGCATTGAAGTTGGCGCGGACCTCCACAAGATGGTGTTGATGCCGCTCCTCCCCTCTGTGTCTCTCCTGTCCTCCTCCCTCCCTCCCTCCCTCCCTCTCCTCTCACTATCTTTCTGTCTCTCCCGCTTTCTCCAGAGCGAGCGCTGGCCCTCACAGTCGCCAGACAGCGAGCGATTGCGCCCCCGCTCACACGAGCGCACCCTGGCGCGCCTCGAAAGCATCTCCGTGCGTGCCCGCTCGCACGAAGGCGCACTCTGGCGCGCCCCGAAGGCGTTTTCGCGCATGCCCGCTCGCGGCAGGTATGGGTGCGCCCTGAGGGCGCTTTCGCGCGGGCCCGCTCGCACGCGGCGCACTCTGTCGCGCCCCGCGGGCTCCCTCGCACCTGCCCGCTCACACGCGGCGCACTCTGGCGCGCCCCAAAAGCGCTTTCGTGTGTGACCGCTCGCACGCGGCGCACTCCAGGGCGCCCCCAGGGCGCCCTCGCGCGTGCCCGCTCGCACTCTGGCGCGTCCGGAGGGAACTTCGGAGCGTGCCCGCTCTCTGCTGACGTATTCTCAATGAAACCCCTGCCCCGCGCGGCGTTTGCGCAGCGACTGCAGATGACGTCGTCTCATGCAGCCTCCCACCCTCCCGCGTGGCGATGGCGTCGCGGAGCGTCCGAATTTGCAACGCCGCGGCGCCGCATCGGCATGGACGCCCGCGCGCACTCGCGCGTTCACTGCATGCGTGGCGCCAACCTGCCTGGCGCCACGCGCCGATCACCCCGCGAACGCAGCTTGCAGAGAACGCTGCCGAGGGGACGCGTCCGAGTCCTCCCTCGCGCGCTCGAGCGCTGGCCATCGCGCGAGGCGCCGCGCGCCGACCTCGGCGCGAGACACGCGCCGACCCCAGCGCCACGCCTTGTGCTTCAATGGTGGGCCAACAGTGCGACGCGCGAGCCTCCCCCTGCGCGAGCGCGAGCGCCAACCAGGCGAGCACGGAAGCTGCCCAAGCGCCGCGCGCCGACCCCAGCGCGAGCCACGCGGCTGCAGCGGACGTCTTCTCGCGCAGCCCACCCCTACCCCCCCGCGCGGCGGTGGCGGAGTGATGAGCTTGCATCTGCGACGCCGCTGCGACGCCCCTGCAGGGGCGCCCGTTCGCACTCGCCCGTCACCAGCCGCGCCGCGAGGCGCAGCCCCGCGGGGCGCCGCGCGCCGACCACCGCGAGAACACCGTGTGCCGAGAACGCTGCCGACGCCACGCGACGAGTCGTCCCGCGTGCGCACGAGCGCTGGCCAGCCGCGCGCGGAATCGGATCGGCGCCGCGCGCCGGCCCCAGCGCGAATGCGTCCCGAGGTCGGGCCTCCCATGCGACGCGCGAGTCTTCGCCTGCGCGCGCGCAGGCGCCATCCCAGCAAGCAAGGAAGCTGCTTGGTACCGCACGCCGACCCCAGCGCAAACAGTTCCGTCGCCGAGCCAATCGTCGACGCGGCGCACCGGCAGTATACGCGGCGCCGCGCGCCGACCTGAGCGCGAACAATTTCGTTGCCGAAATTGTGATTCTGTGCCACCGCGCATCGCGCGACGCGACGCCTGACCAACGGGTCTTCGATCGACATTTCAATCGCGGGGCGACTCTGCGGTACTCCTAACCTCGGAGCGAACCCCCGGGATGCTACGCCAGCGCATTCCCTTGTAAAGGGGGCTGGTTGGGGGGTCGCACGCGAAGAGGGGGCCGACTCTTCGGGCGCAGCCGAGGCAGGGGCGTAGCGCGCAGACGAACATCCCCCACCCCCCCAAGCAACCACGTTGTGGGGGGGATGCGAACGCGGACTTCACGACAGCACTTTCTCTCCTGTGTGTTTTCTTTCTCTCTCTCTCTCTCTCTCTCTCTCTCTCTCTATATATATATATATATATATTTATATATATATAATATCGGTCTCTCTCTCTCTCTCTCTCTCTGTCTCTCTCTCTCTCTCTCTCTTTTTCTCTCTCTCCTCTCTCTCTTTATTTCTCTCTCTCTCATCTCTCTATCTCCTATGTATATATATATACTAGAACCACGCGCGCGCTTCGCGCGCGCTTGGGTTCTGTCGAGTCACAGACCCAGGAATCCTCCTCCTCCTCCTCCTCCTCCTCCTCCTCCTCCTCCTCCTCCTCGTCTTCCTCCTCATCCTCGTCCTTTCCCGAGCGATACAATAACAACTTGCGTGGAACCCCTCTCGGGCCCATCTTGAGGCTCTCTTGGGCCGCCTTTGGAGCCTCTTGGGGCGTCCTGGGTCTCTCGTGGGGGCTTCTTGGAGCTCTCTTGGCGCCTCCTGGAGCCTCTTGGGGCCGAAAGCTCGGAATTCTACAGTGGCTTTCTCCCTCTGGGACCCCTCTCGGGCACGCCTTGGGGCTCTCTTAGGCCATTTTGGAATCCAATTTTGCCGTCCTGGGCGCCTCGTGAACCGTCTTGGAACTCTCTTGGGGGCCACCTAGGCCGTCTTGGGAGCCTCTTCGGACGTGTTGGACGCGGTGAAAACCCAACAGGCGACCATGCGAAAAGTATACGTTTTCCCATAGGAATGGGACCATTTTTGCTTCTTGGACCTCTCTTGGGGTGCCTCTCGGAACGTCTGGGGCTGATTTTGGAAGCCTTTTGGCGCCTCTGGGCGGCGTTTTGGCGCCTCCTGGGATGTGTTGGGCCGGAAGCTCGGAATTCGAGAGTGGCTTTCTCCTTCTGGGACCCCTCTCGAAGTCGTCTTGGGGTTCTCTTGGGCCGTCTTGGGGCCGTCCTGAGCCACTCGTGCGCAGCCTTGGAGCGCTCCCGGAGGCCTCCTAGGCCGTCTTGGAGGCCTCTTGGGCCGTCTTGGACGCGGTGAAAGCCCAAGATGCGAACATGCGAAAAATATACGTTTTCCCATAGGAATGGCACGATTTTTGTTTCTTGGACCTCTCTTGGGGTGCCTCTCGGAACGTCTTGGGGTGCTTTTGGGAGCCTTTTGGCGCCTCTTGGCGGCATTTTGGCGCCTCCTGGAGCCTCTTGGGCCGGAAGCTCGGAATTCGAGGTTGGCTTTCTCCGTCTGGGACCCCTCTCGAACTCGTCTTGGGGCTCTCTTGGGCCGTCTTGGGGCCGTCCTGAGCCACTCGTGCGCAGCCTTGGAGCGCTCCCGGAGGCCTCCTAGGCCGTCTTGGAGGCCTCTTGGGCCGTCTTGGACGCGGTGAAAGCCCAAGATGCGAACATGCGAAAAATATACGTGTTCCCATAGGGATGGCACGATTTTGCTTCTTGGGCCTCTCTTGGGCTGCCTCTCGGAGCGTCTTGGAGGCTTCTGGGACCGTCTTGGTGTCATGACAGGCGTCTTGGAAGGCATCTGGAGCCATCGGAGCGCGTTCCGAAGCCGCCTGCGAACGATCTTGGACGGCGTCCGGCGGTCCGACGAGCCTCCGGGCCCCCCGGGGCCCACATTTGTGGTCGAGGTCCCGGCCCCGGGCCCCCGGACCCAGTGCGCCGTTATATGTATACATAGATTTATCTCTCTCTCTCTCTCTCTCTATCTCTCTCTTTCTCTCTCTCTCTCTTTCTCCCTCCCTCTCTCTCTCTCTCTCCCAAACGCACGCTAACATGGATCCGGGAAGGCAGCCCCCGACACACGAGGCCAGCGCCGCCCCATTTGGCGACGGCGCGCGCCGATCGAGCACGGAACAGCGACCCGTCGCTGGTCCACGCGCCCCAATCCATGTCAGCGTTCCCTCGACTCTCTCTCTCTCTCTCTTTCTCCCTCTCTCTCTCTGTCTCTCTCTCCCTCGCTCTCTCTCTCTCTCTCTTTCTCCCTCTCTCTCTCTCTCCCTCTGTCTCTCTCTCCCTCTCTCTCTCTCTTTCTCCCCCGACGGGCTGCGAACTTGACCGTCAGCGGCGTGCCCAGCGCGGCCGCGAACTGCCCCGCGTTGTCCACCAGGTGCTGGGCCTCGGGCACGCTGCCCATGCGCACGAGCGCCGCGCCGCTCTCGACGCCGGGCGGCGTGGGCAGGATCCGGACCGACACGAGCGTGCCGATGCTCGGCAGCTGCAGCAAGGGGGCGGACGGCCCCCACGGGGGGGGCAGTGCACGCTTCCCGTGTTCGGAGGGGGAGGGGAAAGTCAGGGGGGGCAGCTCCTGGGGGGAGGGTCCGTCGGAAAGGTCGGGAGCTTTTCGGCCCGATCAAAAGCGCGGCTGAGCTCGATCACAAGGGCCGTGGAGCCCGATCGGACTGGATGAAGCAGGGGAACCAACCAGATTCAGCCAGAGCAAGCGGGATCAAGCGGGACTCAACAGGATTATGCTGGATAAGGTCAGTTTTCAACCACGGATATACCAGCTCCAGTTTTCGACAACGGATACGCCAGGAGTTGCATCCTGAGGAGAGGGAAGCGTAGGCAGCTCGCGAATCACCGCATGTCGCCCGCAGCCCGCAGGGCCGACTACAAAGTCCCTGGACTGGGGCAGCGAGGCAAATTCGCATGTCATGGCATCGGTGCAGAAATCGCCAACACGAGGGAGGAGGAGGAGAGGAGGACATGGGGGACTGAATACAACAGCTGGGACCGCGCGGTGGCAGCCCAAGCGGTCACAGAGGAGGGTCCACGGACGGTCGCAGCGGGCCCAGCCCCCTGACGCCATGATTTGTTCGTAACGGCAGCCCCCCAAGGTCTCGGCCCGTTCCCCGGGACCGGATTTTCGCCCCGAAGCATACTTGACGGTCCCGAGGCCCAATGAGGGCCCCCAGAAGCCGAAGATGGCGGAAAAAACTCCCGTCCGAATTCTTTCACTGCGCGAACACGTCCAGGGAGGGTACACGAGCACAGCGGAGGGTGAACGGCCACAGCGGAGGGCAGGAAGCATCACACGTATCCAGCGGCTCCGACCGCCCACGTCTTTGAGGAGACCCCCCCGGCGAGGATGTGCCATGCCCGCACCTCGGCTGTCGACCCCTTGTTGTCTCCGCCGAGATGTGGCCGAACAGGGTCCGCAGAGAGTCCTCGGTGGAGTCTGGCGGGAGACCCTGGAGGCAGCTTTTCTCTAGACCCTGAAAATCTTGGCATTGCATTTGTTCGCAACAGACGTTTCACCCAGTTTCGGGACCGGTGACCCTCACAAATCGGTCCGGCCCGAGAAATGATCCAGAAAGATGGGGTCTGTAGCTCTGGTGGTGATTTTTGGGGATGTGCAGCTTTTTGGCAACATCAGAGCTGAGGGGACTCCGGCAAGTTTACCTACATGGAGGGCGAGGGGGGTGGGTGTGGGGGGGTTGCGAGGCCCAGAAGGACATCTGGTCTTTACGACAGTCGGGCCTCCCTTGCACGCCTTTTCGGCACAGCACTGTTTGAATAGGAGTACGATAGGTTCGCGCGGTGTCGGCGCGCGCAAAGGATTGTGACACGGCGTCGACCTTTCAACTTTGAACCGATCGAGGTCCTGATCGTTCAAAATTGAACTCCGTGGGGTCCAGTGGCGTTACCGTGTTCCCCGATGCTTCCGCGTCGCAGAATTCAACCTGGAACACCTTCGCCAGCGTCGCCAGCGTGCCAACGCCGCACGAACCCACCGTAGGCGGAGGGGTGGGAGGAGGGCGGGAAGGAGGAGGAGGAGGAGGAAGGAGGAGGAGGAGGAGGAGGAGGAGGAGGAGGAGGAGGAGGAGGAGGGGGGGGAGGAGGAGGAGGAGGAGGAGGGAGGAGGAGGGAGGAGGAGGAGAGGAGGAGGAGGAGGAGGAGGAGGAGGAGGAGGAGGAGGAGGGAGGAGGAGAAGGGGGAGGAGAAGGAGGGGGAAGAGGGGGAGGAGGAGAAGGAGGAGGAGGAGGGAGGAGGACGAGGGGGAGGAGGAGGCGGGAGGGAGGAGGGAGGAGGAGGCGGAGAGGGGGGAAGAGGAGGAAGAGGAGGGGTGTGGGGGGAAATGCCATGCAGGTAGACTTGCCAGACGACACCTCAAAGCATGCTCCACTCGGCTGCCCTCCGCCTCTCCGCGCCCTTCCGGCGGCCGCCTCTGGCGGCCGCCGCCGCCTTGGGCGGGCAGCGGCGCTCGAGGGCTGGCATCGTCGTCGCCGCCGCCGTCGCCGCTGGTTTGGTCGTCACCGTCGTCGTCCTCGTCCTCAACCTCAACCTCGTCCTCCTCGTCGTCCTCGTCCCCCTCCTCCTCCCCCTCCTCCTCCTCCTCCTCCTCCTCCTCCTCCTCCTCCTCCTCCTCCAGCCATTCCCCTCGTAAGCGGCACGCGCGCACGGCCCTTCCGAGTTCAGGATGCCAAACTTGGGATTGGCACTGGCACCTGGAGCCCCATGCACCTCCTCTGCTGCGGTCTAGGCCGGCCGACGGTGTGCCCGGCAGAGGGGAAGGCGCGCAGGAGACCTGCAGCACGGCGAGCGTGATGCACCCGGCCCCGTTTCTCTTCCTCCTCTTCCGCTTGCCCCTCCTCGTCCACCTCTGGGTGCAAGCAAGCAGCTCGGCCGGGCGCACTGCGCGCAGGAGCAGGGCTAGGCGGCTGATGACGGACGGAGGGAGCATTGATTGCTGTGGCCCTTCGGCGAGGCTAGCGGCCCACATGGCAGCAGGCTCGGGCCCGACCTGCCATGCCAGGAGAGCGCGCCGCCACCTACAAGGTATCGCGGAAGAGGGACATCGTGTCCGCCGTGGAGGAGTGCTGCGGCTGTCATGGCTGAGCCTGGCCCAGGCCCTACGGGGCAAGCAAGGCAGACGCGGGGCAGCTGGCCTACGAGCTCCACTACGGTTGTTGTTTGTTGGTCAGCAATGGTGGTGGGTTGTCTTATCCATCAATTTGCGACGTTGTTGTCTCATATGCTGGGTTCAATTTGCTGTCATGTTCATGCTATCAGCTTCAGATTGGGCTGGTAATTTACGCTGCATGCGTCAACGTTGCCAGTTTGATATTGCATGTGTGGTGGTGTCCTCAAGGACCAGAGCTCTTGTAGAGTGTGTACGCAACGTTTGTGGTCATTCATTGCTTTGCTGCGCGCTCTCATCAGTTGTGTTTCTTGGTTTCGATTGGCTTTAGCAAATGCCGAATGGTAAGTTGACGGTCCCCGCACAGAATATTACAATGCGTTCACATGTCGCGCAGAAGGCGATGCACTGCGCGAGCAGGCACCCTTTCATCTGTCCTTGGGAGGGCACTCTAGACAGCAGAATCCAGCAGAATCCTCCTCCTCCTCCTCCTCTCTCCTCCTACCTCCTCCTCCTCCTCTCCTTTCTTCCTCCCTCCTCCTCCTCCGCCTCCGCTCCTCCGCCTCCTCCTCCTTCTCCTTCCTCCTCCTCCTCCACCTCCTCCTCTCTCCTCCTCCCCTCCTCCTCCTTCCTCCTCCTCCTCCTTTCTCCTCCTCCTCCTCCTCATCCTCCTCCTCCTCCTCCTCCTCCTCCTCCTCCTCCTCCTCCTCCTCCTCCCCATCTAAATAAAAAGACGCTCCTTCATATACAGGTTGTCCGACGGGGGACTCTCCAGCGGTGCCGCCATGGCGGCCGTGCCAGGGGCGCCTCCACCGACGCCCAGGCGGCCTCGGGCTGCCCCGAGCTGAGAGCGCCTCACTGCGCCCGCAAGTCCGATCTCCCTCCCTTTCACAGTGCGCCCGCAGGATCCAGCTGGATCGATTCGCGAGATCGGCTCGGGATCAGATCGCCAGCGGATCGTCCAGGATCGAATCGAGATCGGATCGCAGCGCCTGGCTCTGGCTGACCCCGGCCGATGCTGGTGAATCGAAGCGAACCGGATCGAATCGGAATCGCGGCCCAGGCCGGCGAGTCGAACCGCATCGTAGGCGGCCCAGCCGCCGAGATCCTGCAGGCGGCCCTTCGGGTCGTCGTCGTCGTCGTCGTCGTCGTCGTCGTCGTCGTCGTCGTCGTCGTCGTCGTCGTCGTCCTCGTCCTCGTCCTCGTCGTCGTCGGGGATCGACTCGCGAGGGTCGAGCTTTTCTGGGGGGCACTTTCGGCCCTTTCTGGGCCTCGGGGAGCCTCCGGGGGCCTCCAGAGATCCTCTGAGCCCCGCGTCGTCCCTGCCGCTGCTCTGCTCCTCAGCGCCTGCAGCCAAGACGCGGAAGAACGGACCACTTTGGGCTCAGGAGGGAGGGAGGAGGAGGAGGAGGAGGAGGAGGAGGAGGAGGAGGAGGAGGAGGAGAGGAAGGGAGGGGGGGCTCTGGTTGCGGGGCAGCTCCTCAGATCTGGGTCGGCGAGCCCGTTCGTGGCCGAGGCCCGCCCATGGCCCGAGAAGCCCCTTTTCATTGCACTGGCCTTGCAGTCGTGCTGCAGCGGATTTCTGCGTGGATTCCTGCGTGGATTCTTGCCCGAAGCGGCGAGCGAAAAACGAAGCGAATTGTTTGCGCTTCGCGAGTCCCCACCAGCCCATCCAAAAGCAGCCGCTCGAAAAAGGTGCGCTGACCGTGGGGTGTTTTCTCTTCCCTCTCCCTCTCTTTGGCTTCTTTCTTCCTTCCTCCTCTCCTTCTCCTCGTCCTCGTTGCTCCTTCTCTTCGTCCTCCTCCTCCTTCTCCTCCTCCTCCTCCTCCTCCTGGCGTTGCCGTGCGATCTTGGGGCTCTCTTGGGATCTCAGGGAATCGTGGGCCTGGGCTCTCTTGGGGCTCCTTTGGGAGTCTTGAAACCCTCTCGGGGCTCTTTGTGGGAGTTTGGGATGTCTCTTGGGGCCATCTTGGAGGCCATCGGGCGAAGAAGGAGAGAGCATGTATTGGTGTACCCCCGTCGGGGCCCGACATATCGCCTCTTGGAGCCCTCTTGGCCGCTCTTGGGCGAATGTTGGGCGCTTTGGGGCCGTCTTGGGGCCCTCTTGGGCCGTATTGGCCGCCTCTTGGGCCGTCTTGGGGACCTCTTGGGCCGTCTTGGAGCCGTCTTGGAGCCGTCTTGGGAGCCTCTTGGGCCGTCTTGGGCCTTTTGGGCTGTCTTGGAGCGTCGGGAAGCCGAAAGGGCGGGAACGCTAAAATGTTTGAAATACGGAAGGAAAACATATGATTTTGGCATCGTGGGGCCCTCTTTGGGCGCTTCTCGGGGCTCTCTTGGAGCTTTTTGGGGGTCTCTTTGGCCGTCTTGGCCTCTCGGGGGCGTCCTTGGGAGGTTCCGCGGCCACTTGGAGCCGTCTTGGGGCGGTTTGGGAGCCTCTTGGGGCTCTCTTGGGCCGCTCTTGGGCGCCTCTTGGGCGCCCTTGGGGCCGTCTTGGGGCCCTCTTGGGCCGTATTGGCAGCCGCCTGGGCCGTCTGAGGGCCCTCTTGGGCCGTTTTGGAGCCGTCTTGGGAGCCTATTGGGCCGTCTTGGGGCGGTCTTGCATGCCTTTTGGGCTGTCTTGGAGCGCCGGGAAGCCGAAAGGGCGGGAACGCTAAAATGTTTGAAACGCCCACGGGAAATCAATGGTTTGGGCTTCTTGGGGCCCTCTTACGGCGCCCCTCGGGGCTCTCTTCGAGCGTCTTGGGGACCTCTTGGCCCGTCTTCGCTTCTCGGGGGCGTCCTCGGGAGGTTCCGCGGCCACTTGGAGCCGTGTTGTGGCGGTCTTGGAGCCGGTTGGCGCTCTCTTGGGCCGCTTTTGGGCGCCACTTGCTTGGGCGCTCTTGGGGCCGTCTTGGGGCCCTCTTGGTCCGAACTGGCCGCCGCTTGGGCCGTTTTGGGGCCCTCTTGGGCCGTCTTGGGGCCCTCTTGGGCCGTCTTGGAGCCGTCTTGGGAGCGTTTTTGGGGGCCTTGGGAGCGCTCTTGGGGCCATCTTGGAGGAGATCGGTCAAAGAAGACGAAAGCACTTATTTGCCCCTCCCCCCCTGGGACCACGATCCCTGTGAGGGGTGTCAAGAAATAAGCCCCCCAGGGGCCGACAAAGGACGCCCCAGCGACCGGCAGCCCCCCCTCTCCAGGCCCAGGGGGAGGGCGTAAGGGGAGGAGACAAGTTACCCCCTCCCCGCCCGCAAGCCGTCTCGCTCACTCCCACCCGCCCCCCCAACACATACGTAGCACCCGAGTCTGGCCCGATCCACGGCGCATTCAGCAGTCGTCGTTGGATAAGCAGCTCCTGGCGGGCCAATCCGCCGCCGCCCGCCGCCGCCGCCTCCGCGCTCGCCGCCGCCGCCGCACGGCCGCAGCCCGCCGCCGCCCGCCCGCCGCCGCCGCCCGCCGCCGCCGCCCGTCCGGCTCGCCGCGTCGCCGCCGCCGCCGCGCCGCGCCGCCGCCCATGTCGCCGCGCCGCCGCCGCCGGCCCGCGCCGCCGCCGGCCGCTTCCGCCCCGCGCGCCGCCACCGCCGCCGCCGCCGCCGCCGCCGCCCCCCGCTGCCAAACCGCCGCCACCGCCGCAGCCGTTGCCGCTGCCGCCACCGCCGCCGCCGCCGCCGCAGCCGCCGCAGCCGCCGCCGCCGCCAAGTGTACTCTGTATTATTTCTTTTGACAGGGATGGTGGGGGGGGGCCGCATCGGGTTGGCTGCGCATGTTCCGAATTTTGAGGCAGAGTGTGTTTTGTATTGTTTGTTTCAAAAGGATGGTGGGGGGGTGTCGGCATGGACGCGGGTTGGCCCCCAGTGCTTGGTGGTGAGGGGGTGTTTATTATAGGGAAACATGATCAAGACCCCCCTTCCCGCCCGCCAAGCCGTTCTCTCACTCCACCCGCCCTCCAACACATAATTAGCGCCCGAGCCGCAGCTACGTAGCACCCGAGTTCTGGCCCGAGCCACGGCATATTCAGCAGTTCGGTCTTGGATGGGCAACTCCTGGGGGCCAATCGCCGCCGCGCCGCCGCCTTCCGCGCCGCGCCGCCGCCGCCGCCCGCCGCCGCAGCCCGCGCCGGTTCGCCGTCGCCGCCGCGCGCCGCGCGCCGCCTGTCTGCCGCCGCCGCGCCGCTCGCCGCCGCCGCCCCCGCCGTCTTCCGCCGCACGCCGCCGCCGCCGCCGCCGCCGCCGCCACCGCCGCCGCCGCCGCCCCCCGCTGCCATACCGCCGCCGCCGCCACAGCCGCTGCCGCTGCCGCCACCGCCGCCGCCGCCGCCGCAGCCGCCGCAGCCGCCGCCGCCGCCAAGTGTACTCTGCATTGCTTTTTGACAGGGCTGGTGGTGGGGGGCCGTTTCGGGTTGGCGGCGCATGTTCCGAACTTGGAGGCAGAATGTATTTACCTAACAGTTTTTGCTAATAGGTTTCTAATGGTCTCAAAAGAAAACAACAAATGACTCCACAGGGGGGGCTGGGCGGGACACGGAACGGCTGCCGCCGAAGCCGAGATCGCTTTGGACATCCTCGCAAAATCGCTCTTGGTGCTCCCAAAACTCCATTCCCGGGCCACATTTTGGATGCCCGGAGCCAACTGTAGGCCACTTCGTGCTCTGCGACTTCCCAGAACTCCATTCCCGGACCACATTTTGGATGCCCGGAGCCAACTGTAGGCCACTTCGTGCTCTTCGATTTCCCAGAACTCCATTCCTGGGCTACATTTTGGATGCCCGGAGCCAACTGTAGGCCACTTCGTGGTCTTCAAGTTCCCAGAACTCCATTCCTGGGCATGATTTTGAATGCCCGGAGCCAACTGTAGGCCACTTCGTGTTCTTCTAATTCCCAGAACTCGACTCCTGGGCCACATTTTGAATGCTGAAGCAGGCTGATGCTGCGGCCGAGGCGGGCTGAGGCTGAGGCAGGCTGAGGCTGAGGCTGAAGCTGAAGGCAGACTGAGGCTGAGGCTGAAGCAGACTGAAGCTGAGACTGAGGCAGGCTGAGGCTGAGGCTGAAGCAGGCTGATGCTGAGGCAGGCTGAGGCTGAGGCTGAGGCTGAGGCTGATGCAGGCTGAGGCTGAGGCAGGCTGAGGCTGAGGCCGAGGCTGAAGGCAGACTGAGGCTGAGGCTGAGAAGGCTTGAGGCTGAGGCTGGGCAGGCTGAGGCTGAGGCAGGCTGAGGTTGATGCTGAGGCAAGGCTGAGCGTGAGGCTGTGCACTGCTGGGGGTGCTTGCCGCTGCGACTGTCATCGCGAATGCGACTACGACTGCGAGAACAGCAGAATTCGACAACTGGATTTTCATCTGAATCTTAAGGGGAATGCTTTCAGATATGCTTCTACACATCGCTGTTAGGTTGCTTCGCCGGGATCATTTGTATTGTTTGTTGCCAGGGATGGTGGGGGGGGTGTCGGCATGGACTCGGGTTGGCCCCCAGTCGCCTGGGGGAGGGGGTGTTTACTAATAGGGAACAATGATCAAGACCCCCTCCCCGCCCGCAAGCCGTCTCGCTCACTCCCACCCGCCCTCCCAACACATACGTAGCACCCGAGTCTGGCCCGAGCCACGGCATATTCAGCAGTCGTATTTGGATGGGCAGCTCCTGGGGGCCAATCCGCCGCCGGCCGCGCCGCCGCCGCCTCCGCCGCCGCCGCCGCCGCCGCGCCGCACGCCCGGCCGCCGCCGCCGCCGCCGCCGTCGCCGCCGCGCGCGGCGCCGCCGCGCGCCGCCGCGCCGCCTGTCGCCGACGCCGCCTCCGCCAGCCGCCGCCGTTCCGCCGCCGCTTCGCCGCCGCCCTCCCCCCCCCCCCCCCCCCCCGCCGCCGCGCCGCCGCCGCCGCCCCC